GGACAATATGGGAAGTGAGGACTTGCATCATTCAGTGAAGAGCATGCAAATGTGAACTTAGGCTGAGTAAATGAAGGCAAGAACAAATATGCAATACTAATGAGCACAGAAGGATAGCTGTGAGGCACCGGTAAAAAAACAACAACAAGTCTACCAGGAAAGAGGAAACAAGGCTTAATCCCTGGTAAAAAACAATAACAACAAGTAGACCAGGAAAGAGGAAACAAGGCTTAATCCCAGTTCCGAATCTCTGATGTGGTTCCCTTCAAGAATGCCAGAATGGACAGAAGCATGAGATGGGGAGATGCTAGAAAATGGAGCAGAAAGAGGAACACAAAGCCAGCCAAAAAAGGAACAGAGGAACCCATTCTGACTGTATATCCATGGGAGTAGAATTGTGTCATCTAGAGGGCCTAAATTTAAAGTGCTCACCTATCCACTCACCTGAAATTCACCTTCATAAATATTTTAACTACATATTCCCACCATTTGGTGGGCATTTTGCTAACAATAATTGTGCTCTTTAAGTATTTGCAGGGCTGTCACTTAGAGGAGGGCAGGGAGCTGTTCCTGTTGGCGGCAGGGAATAGGACTCGCAATAATGGTCTTAAATTAAGGAAGGTTCTGGCTGGATATTTGGAAAAACGTTTTTACAATAAGAGTTGGTCAACAGTGGAATCTGCTGCCTAGGGAGGTGGTGAGCTCCCCCTCACTGGCAGTCTTTAAGCAGCAGCTGGACAAACACTTGTCAGGGATGCTCTAGGCTGTTCCTGCATTGAGCAGGGGGTTGGACTAGATGGCCTGTACAAGCCCCTTCCAGCTCTGTGATTCTATAATTACAAAACAAAAGGCAGACTGCAAACAGGCTACAATCTGTATTGTAAATCTCATTTGAAGGATTTGGTTTCAAAAAAATCCTTACTACCAACATTTTAAACTATCAATTAATAGTACCAGTTTTTAACAACTGGATTATTGAGAGAGCAGATATTGAGGACTACAAGCAAGGACAGCGTTGCATCGTATGAAATAAGATTTTTAAAACAAATGTTTTAACCGGTTCAAGGTCTTATGGACTAGGATCATAAGATCTGACAAGAACAGTCTAGCTGTTTGTCCAACACCACATTTAGTTATCAATAGAATGTTTACTTTAACAAAATCTTGGGGTCATGTGTTACAAAATATTGAAGCTTCAGATTTCCTATGTGTTCTACAAAACTTTCTGATGTACAAGGAAATACTTATTGGCACTGAAGCAAAACATGTTTAGGCCATTACGAGTATTCACACATAAGGCATGAGAAAGACTTGTCTTTAAAAAGTGTTCACATGGATCAATGTATATGTTTATTTTTAGACTCCATTCTAAAAGGTTCATCATTTAAATCTAAAGCCATCACCATATGAACTGTATTTATTTCTCAGCGTACAGTGAGCCAATCATCTGCCTGAAAAATCAAAGCTTATACTCCAGTTTCCAATACCTTGAGACACCGTATAATCCTCACTGGTTCCACCCACCTGGAAATTCAGTAAAACAGATTCTGAATGTTTTTCAATAAACAGACTTTTCAGTTTATACTGAGCTTTGGTAGCCAGAAAGAATTCAGGACAGGCAGCAGAACCTGAACATTTGTTTTGTTGTTGTTCAGTCGCACAGTCGAGTCCGACTCTTCGCGACCCCATGGACCAGCTCACGCCAGGCCCTCCTGTCTTCCGCCATCCTAAACATTTATTTAGTTTCTCACATATTGGGTTACACACATTTTCTTGCCACAGTTTTCAGGATAGTGACAGTTACAAATCTATTGCCCAGTTTGGGTAGACCAAGGTTTTAATAAAATGGGACTACACGTACCCTGACACCCTGATTACAAGGTTCCCCGGGGAAGCGGGCAAGGTAAAATAAACTTGCCAACACAAACTAGAATTTATGCCCCAAAACCCACATTTGAGAATCTAGTCAAAGTAAGTTTAAGAGCATAAGTACACGCATTTTAAAAGGAGTTAGCAACAGACAAGCATCACTAAACATAGGTAGTGGAGCTGGGAAAAACACAATGGAGGATTAGGAGACAACATATGAAGAATCCCATGATCTAATCCCTAAATCCTGCTTCTGGTGTTACATCTCAATCAAGTCTGTATTTTCCCACACCTGAATCAAGCCCATTCATTTTTCCCCTGCTCACAATTAACAAGGTTCAGCACCTAGCTTTGCTTATCCATTGGTATATAAATGCGCGTATCTGGGAATACCCCAGTTATTTAATACACTGATTAGCACTTGTTGTCTTTCTCTCCCACCCTTGAATGATACACATGAATCTAATCTCATACCAATCACATCTTCATATTGTCCTTTGTTTTTAATTTAACAGCTACTTGCCAGTAAATGAGAGGAATATTAATTTGACATGTTTGAGGTTTTGACAGCACTTCAACATGAACAAAAATCAGCCCAACATCAATCCACACACAGATCCGCAGCTGAGGACTGAGAAAGAAGTGAGGAAAATGTGCACAGCGCAACCAAATAAGGTTCAAAAGGTAATGGGATAGAAGCCAAGTATGTTCCTTGTCCCTGGTGGATCCCCCCATAAATGAACAAGCCTGCTGCTATCTGTGCTGCTACACCTTGGGTTAACCTTCTCTTGGGAGCAATGTTCCCTCTAAGCCGTGGAGTCTAGTGAGCAAAAATTCTACTTTGTGAGCCACCGGCATTAAAGTTGTGAGCAAGCCATTTGGCTCCTACATGAATCAGTTTGCTCTGGAGCCATCCCTTCGTGAGCTAAAGCTAAAATTTGTGAGCTGAAGGCTAAAAAAACTGAACTAGCTCACACTAACTCAGTTTAAAGGGAACAATGCTTGGGAGCCCCAGGACCTGCCACACCCAGGAGGGCCATCATGCAGAGAGAGTCACAGGAGGCCACAAGTGGCTTCAGGATCTAAGCACCAAGATGCAGCACCAACAGGAAAGTACAGTCCTTTGCTGCAGTTGCCAACTAGTTCCTTTTCTGCAAGAAAAGAAACAGGCCAGTCTCTATGGAATCAGGGTGTGGCTGAGAGCCCAAGAAAGCCTTGGTGCCTCATGAGGGGCTAGGCAGGTGGGAGGGGCTTAAAGGCCTGCTTCAACCATTTAAGCCTGAGCAAGAGAGAACTGAGGAGAACTCATTCACTGCCTCCTAAGGTGACCAGAGAGGGGCAGGCAAAGAGAGGAGGATGGGCACTGTGTTTATTAACCCTCTTCCTTTTGGGACTGACACTCAGGGCAAAGGCACAGAGCATACAGGATGGAGCTAACGCAGACCAGCACACTGACTACAGTTATTCTAAATTCATGTTTCTGGCATAAATAGCACCTCTATTCCTTTTTATTGTTCCTTAAATTAGCAAGAAAGGTAAGAGAGAAAAGAAAACAACAGTACCTCCAGATGAGACCCTGAGGAAACATAGGGTTTTAAGACATGTTTATACAAGGAGCCCATCTACTTTGTCAGCTCTTACTCAGATTTTTACCACGGAGAAAAAAACCCAAAGTCTGAACTGGAGGTGAAATAGTTCAAACATATGTCTAGAGCAGAGGGGTCAAACTCATTTGTTATGAGGGCTGGATCTGACATAAATGTCACTTTGTTGGGCCAGTCTATGCGTGCTATAAAATGTAACAAGAGGTACCAGAGATATAAACTTTATAAAGATGATTTCAGATGCTGAATGGCAATAGCACGCATGATTGGATTAGGTGTGATATACAGAGAGGAAGTAGGCATGGAGATATCAGCACTGGTAATGGGACAGGAAACCTAGGTCTCAATTCCATCCAGGAGGATTCAGTCCAGGAGGATACAAAGAATAAATGGACATAAGTCTGACATTAGAAACCACAACGTTCAGTTGGTGACCTAAGAGCAGCAGTTATCTTACAGAGGAATTTCAAGGGGTAATTAGAAAGAGAGACTGCTGAACTGCAATTGATAATGAAGCTCAAGACAATGCATCCTCCTGGACTGAATTGAGAGCTAGCTTTCTGTCTCATTACCAATGTGTGCTATTATCATTTGGCATCTGAAATCACTCCAGTCTCCAAGATATAAAAACCAATTCACGTGTTCTGATTCCTAATCAAGGTCTTTTTTGGAACAGAAAAATCCAATCATTAAAAAAAGCTTTTCAGAATAAGCCAAAATAATTTCCTCAATGTATATTGTGCTTGTCAAAAGAATCCACCCACCCTCTCCCTCCAAAGAAGTATGCTTGCACAAAAAAGCTTCTACTTGGAATAAAATGTTGTTGGTCTTGAAATTGCAATAGGACTCCAACTTTGTTTTCTCTTTCTCTTTGCTTCCCTCCCTCCCAAACAAAGGAAGAGCAGCCCCGGAAAAGGAAGCAGAAGCTGTGTGTGTGTGCCTGTTTCTCTGTGTGTCTGTTTGTGTGTGTGAGAGAGAAGGGGGAGGGAGGCAAGAGGCAGGAAACAAAGAGCCACTGAGTGAGTTGTGAAAAAGCAAGCTAGGGTATGGCTGCAGGAGCAGCCCTGGGAAAGGAAGCAGGAGAAAGAAGTTGCTGGGGGGGGGCAGTTTTGAGTCTTGTGCGGGCCAGATCCGGCCCACGGGCCACACATTCGATACCCCTGGTCTAGAGCTTAGTGGGGAAATCCTACATAACATATTAGGAGGTCTAACGAGACCAACAAGCAATCACCATAATCAAATCACAGTTAAACATAATCAAGACACAAATGAGTTGCTTAGGTGAATATTAGTAATGTGCACTGTCAGGTGTCTGAATGTATTTTAGCTTAATTATTGAATAAGATGGACAAAAGCATAATCTTCCTAATTTTTTAAATTTATTTTATTGAATTTATATCCCCCCCTTCCCCACAAGTAGGCTCAGGGCGGGTCACAACAGTTAAAATACAGACATAGTAATAAATCCAATACAAGTGCAAAATCATAAAAAGTGGCTGGAAACAAATAGGATGAATGAACCCTTACCTTCCCTGTGCTTTGTAAAATGGTAGTTCTTGTCCTCCACACCCTTTCCCTGCTGACTATATCCCTCGTTACGTCGACTTCTGCATCTACAAAACTTCGCTGTTTAAGAGCGGTTATGTCATCGTCCAAATCAGTCTTGATAGTGGACCTTTTCTTGGCCATGATTTTGGCTTTGATAGCGGCAATTTTTTCCACAGACATAGCTTCAGACAGGGACCTAGAAAAGCATTATTGCATAAGACAAACTAAGCACAGTCACAGGCCAGCATTTATATGATCCAGTTGAATGCTCTAAATGAGTGCTGAGGCAGTACAAGCAACAATTAACCGATTATGCTGGAAAATTACTTTCCTTAGTTTTACAAAAAAACATCGAAGTATTATTTATGCAGATAAATGAATTCACTGTCTTAGGGGCTAAACCTGGCAATTTTTGCAGACACTGAATGTCTTGTTAGTTTCTCCCGTGCAAGAGACTCACAAAATTAAAAAACTACATATACCAAAGAGAATGGGGAAAGAGGAAGTTTTCAATAAGCAACATAGCAGAGCTCTACTTCCATCTTCTGGCTGAAGACAATATTTTAAGTGTTATGTACATGAAATTAACGGTTATTGAAGGGGACTCTTAGTAGCTCTGTCACTCCTCTGTATTTACCCTTTCCCCCATATTCAGTACCAGGAAAATAAAAGACCTATTAGATTCCTCTAGTTCTGTAGTCTCTTCCCAGTTCAGCCAAGGATGACAGGAAGACCTAGTATTGACTAGCCCATGTCATGAACAACAGGACTGAGAGGGTGGTGAGATGAACCCCAAAGGTAAGAAATTATGACAGTCATTCACTCAGCCCTATAGCTAGATGATTTTTGGTGGGGTGGCACTGGATGGAGGAGGGGTGGAGGGAGAAAAAAGTGTGCCAGGTTTATTACACTGCTGCAGGGAAGGGGCATGGCCTGGGCACTTAACCCCTTGCACACTACAGGAGTCCAGCAGCCCTCTCTTTCTTCCCCCCCCCCCCAGCCCTCCTTTTGCAGCTCTCGCCAGGAAAGGAATGATGACACAGCAGTTGGGGAAGATGAAGTTGTGGCAGGCCCAGCACTGGAGGCTAGGAGCTGTGCTAGGTCCAATGTCAGTGACAGGCAGGGGATAAGCCAGGAACCACAACAGCCCTAGCGATGACAGCAGTGATAGGGGAGGGAGAAGCTGTGGTGTGCCAATCAGTGGTGAGGGTAATGAGTGCAAAGAAACCTAAGAGGGGGAGAGAGAGAGAAATAGAGAGTGTGATGGGGTGGGGGCAGAAAAAGAGAAAGAGAATGACAGGGTGGGGAGGCAGAAAGAAAGAAAAAGTGACAGGAATGGGAAGAAGAGAGAGTATTTATTTATTGACCTTTCCCCCACTTTTGAGTTACTTCTGATTTTCTTGGGAATTGATCCACAAGCACTTGAATCCATTTGGGCAAGGTTCTTCCACATGTCTATCGTCCCTGTGCATTTTGACAGTTATGGAGTCAGTTTATTTACTTCCACATATGGGTTAAATAATTAAGATTTTCAAAGAAAGGTGCTGTCATCTCAGTGCTATCGGTGGTGTCACAGCACACACACCCTTTTTAAAGTAAAGGCCCTTAAAAAGCCCAGGTGAAAAACCCAAAAAATAAAGTGAAATCTAAGAGCCGGAAAATGCATGTGGAAATCGGAAAAAACCAAAGCAAAGTCTACCAAGCACTGAAAAAGCCCATGCAGAAAAGAGTTAAGAAAAGGGGTAGTGGGAGGCAAAAATACCGAGAGAGAGAGAGAAATAGAGAGAAAGGGGAGAAAACCAAGGTGGGGGGAATGGGATGGCCACTCCTGCAAGTTTCTTGCAGGTCCCCAATTGTACATGTAAGAATTTAGGTTTCATCATTCCTGTATCAACTGGCAATTCTGGGTTCTCTAAGTAAAACTTACCCGTCACCGTTTAAGGGGCTTTGCTACCAAGCAACTCAGTCCTGCACTCTGCCTTTTACACAGAAATCTACATGTCAAGAAGGACACTGGGCTAAACCCAATCCTTCTGCTGGGTATGCTAGAGTTCATATGTGTATGAGTGACAGTGTAGTACAGTGGACACAGTGTTGGATTAGGATCTGGGAGACCCAGGTTAGAATCCCCACTCTGCCATGGTAACTTGCTGGGTGACCTTGGGCCAGTCACACACTTTTAATCTACCTCCTCAGCGAGGAGAGGAGAACAATGTAAGCCTCTTTGGGACAAACAGAAGCCACTGTGCCTAGAAACTGATGATCCTGACTCAGCGCTGGATAGCTTTTCAAGTGATGAACACAACTACTTGATCCTTTAGATGGTAATTTAGGCAACCGAAGAATACCTGTACCTTCCATACAAATGCCACTGCAACTTAAAGTTCTCCTTGAAACAATATCTAGGCTACAGATGCATGTGTGGCTTTTTAAAAAAACACCTCTAAGGACCAGGAAATAACCATTCCTTCAGCAATCTTCCACCCACTTACTATTTGGTACAAGCTTGTTGCACGCTTATAGAAAGGAAGCAAGCAGTAATTCTTACTATCCTGTTTTTCAGAAGCAACACCTAGACAGAGAATATACAAGAAAAAGGGAAGAACTGTGATTGTCTATTGATAGCATAAATCTTACTGCCTGCTACGTGTATTAAATCCACCTACCCTGCCTGGCAATACTATCCTGTGTGAGGCATGTGGACCCTCAGGAAAGTCAGAGCCAGATCTAGCTATACCAAAATCTACTAAAGAATTAATAGCCATGTTATTGATTGCAGCACAAACAGCTATAGCTGCTAAATGGAGAGACAAGGCAGGACCTCCCATAAATATGTGGCATAACAAAATATGGAATCTATATATAATGAGGAAAAAGTCACTAATCAAATAAAGTAATACAGATAGGGATATATACTCCAAATCTGTAGTAAAGTGGTTTCCTGTATTAGGTTATTTGGCTTCTCACAATGCGATTCCTAAAAAAATTGGTTCATATGAACTTGCTTAACATCTGAGATTAAAAAGGTTGTATGATATGTTTGGTAGTTGGCTGATTTAAATTCAGTGTTATGATCCACTTCTCTAATGCAACATAATAGAGAATTATTTTTGTATGATATTCTATGCATCTTATATATTCAGGTAGTCAGCCATATTGGTCTGAAGCAGAAGAACAAAATTAAACATTATCATATTACATGTTAATATCCCTGTCTATAAGCTTGAACCTAACACACCATTCCATCGTATATGAAAAAGCGTGCATGCACACTAAAGCTTATACCTTGAATATACCTTTGTTGGTCTTAAAGGTGCCACTGGACTCTAATTTTGTTCTATGCATCTTATATGTTCAATATCTTACTTAGAAGAAGAAGAGATTGGATTTATATCCCGCCCTTCACTTGGAGTCTCAGAGCTGCTTACAAACTCCTTTCCCTTCCCCTCCCCACAACAGACACCCTGTGAGGTGGGTGGGGCTGAGAGAACTCTGACATAAACTGCTCTTTTTCAAGGACAGCTGTGCCAGAGCTTGTGACTGACCCAAGGTCACATCAGCAGGTGCAAGTGGAGGAGTGGGGAATCAAACCCGGTTCTCCCAGATTAGAGTCCGCACACTTAACCACTACACCAAACTGGCTCTCTATCACAAGGTTGTACGATACTGTTGTGTTCTTATTTTGTATATATGTTGTAATAAACTCAATATTTTTTTTAAAAAAAAAGGAAAGTCAGAGGTAAGGCTACAAGCAAGTAAGTTATCAGTCTGTGCTGTGGGCAAGCCCCATGTTACATGCTTCAACAAGATCCTGCAGTAATCTTTCTAAATCTTGATATTGCTCTCCTCTCATCAAGCACACTAAACCTTTTATCATCTTTTAAAACTTCTCCATCCACTCCCTGCTTTATTTTCTCAGATACATAAAAGAAGCTGTGAAACTGACTTGCCTAGGGTCAGGTAGTATTCCTGGCCAAGCTGCAATTTAGTCTTTCAAGTCTAAGGCTGCAAAATTTGAGAGCAAACCCTAATGAATTCAATGGGATTTTCTATTCTATTAAATATGCATTGGATTGGACCACCCATTCTGTAAAGAGGATGTTGGGAATGCCAGGCTCTTTACTTAAATGGAAGGTCCATGTCACATTTTCTGATCTTTTCAGTATGCCCCATTAAAAACAGCTACTTTCCTATGAGAATAATTTTTGAAAAAAGTATCAAGATGTTTGATATTATCACTGTTATTTCCATTTCCAGGCTGCCCTAAAATGGCAATATTAAAGCATTGTCCGTTTTTGCTGCGATGCACTCAGAAAAGCTTATGTGCTGAGAGAGGTACCCTATGAGAGCATTTCACAGCTGTATTTACTCAAATGCAACACTAGGTTTTCCCCCCTAGGTTTTTCCCCAGGTATACCCTCCCAAAAAAGAGAGGGCTGTCTTACAACTGCATGCACATTAGTGTTATATCCAGTAATTAATATATATATATGTTTAACTTTTTAGGGGGGCTGTCTTACATTTATGGTGTTCTTTCTTTTTAGTAAATACTGTAATATCATGAAGAAAGCAAAGCTTGCCTGATCTGCTCTGTCTGCACAATGCCTTCCTTGTGCCCTTCCAGCCGAGCAGCCAGTCGCTCTTTGTCCAGACGTACACACTCTTCATCCTAAGGGGGGAAAAACAGTGTGGTAAGACTACCCCTGGCCTTCCTTTGAGAAAAAGAATATAGCATCAGAGAAGCTGCCTGATGGGCCCTGCAAAGGAACCCTTTACCAGACGGTAACAAATTTATTGAGACTGAAGAGTCAAAAGCAGCCCAAGTCTACCAAGCAGTGAACCTTGGATTAAGACTAGAAATGTGCATTGGTTGTTCATGGCATGACTCTCCCCTACTCTCCTCCACTAGTATTTAATAGCCAATATTAACCAATCCATTTTAACATAAAACTGAATGATTATTGCAAAATCATTAATGTCTAAAGTGTAACCCAAACGTTCACTATGGTATAGAATGCGTTCCTGATATTTCATGCGATCAAGGAGGAAGTTCTCAACAAGGCTTCCCTTAATCTGGGGCAGGATCGAATGAACTGAGTGCCATGAACTGAGGAGGACTATACGCTTATTTCTTCCCAAACAAAATTCCACCCCACTGCTCCACTGTCAGCAGCAGACCTGGCCATTTTTGAAACAGAAAAAGTTTCAAAAACAGTTTGTGGGTACTGGCAGTTCAAACAAAAATAAAATATCACTGGTATGGTACAAGCCCCTCGCTTAAGCCTTAACAGCTCTTCAGATTGTGATTTTTATCGAGGAGACTTTCTTTCCTTATAAAACCATGAAACATGATGAGCTGCATTTGTGAGAATACAAGAAAAATACATTTATTCAAAGAGTTATAGAAGCAAATGAAGACAAAAAATTACAAGTAAATCTTACTTCTATTCTTGGTTTCTTTGCTTCTGCTAGTATTTCATCAGCTGCTCTTTTAACTGCAAAAAAAATTTAAAACGTTATTAATGGGGCAGTCTTTCATAAAACGGTATCATTATTCCCCTTGATAATTAAATCATACCTTGAGTGGATCGCTGAAGACCTATTTCAAGTGGCGCACTTCTGTCTATACTTGATGATGTTGCTAGATAGTACAAATGAGAAAATACCAATAATAGATTATTATTTTTAAAAGGTGCAGGCACAAAGCAATCAGTGGGGGGGGGGAGAGAGAAAGAGCAGAAGAGACAACTGGGCAATAATAAAAGGGATCTAGAACTGTTTTTCCTTACTAACCATCTTGTACATACAGTATATAAGCAAAAGCAATATCCCTGATTGCCAACTCTGCTTAGCACAGATTTTATTGCACTATGCCTTGCCCTTTTGTTTTTTTTGGGGGGGAGATAGTCAAGAGCACTCAAAGATCTATTGAGATCCTCACCTAAATTTCAGGTTAAACTCGGGATTTCTTATTCATATATAGGTTAAGCTTAAGTCTCATCAGAGGAAAGACGGCTAGTACTACTTGGCCTCTGAATGTTTGAGGAAATCCAAGGCTTCCCGGCTAGAAATACCATAACTTGTAAAAAAATAGTAGCAAGTTAAATACTCTTAACTCACATGTTTCCCCATTCAGGTATGCAAGCAGATCTTTTCTGTCAGGTCTTCTTACCACCGGAATGTTTTCAGTCTAAAAAGAAGGCAAGTTTGGTATTTGAAACCAACAGCACCTTAAGAAGCATAGTTTCAAAACAACCCCAATCTAATAGACTATGGAGTAAAGTTTGGTGTCAAACTGCTTCTTATCCTTCAGATGCAAACGACCATGGCAAATATACCAGCTTGCCAATAAAATGCCATCCAGCAAAAGTGCAGATTGTGTATTCTGTTGAGCTACAAGTGCCAGCATTGCTAAAAGAGGTTCAAACTGGCAAGGACCAGGACCTCAAGGAAACTGTAGCTGTGATTACTCCAACCAGTCGCAGCAGAATCACTACATGTTGTATGGAAGCTGCACAGTGCCATCTCTCTCCACCCCAAGAATGCTTGGGGATTGCTACGGGCACAAGGTCCACAGAATACCAATGAAAATTTTTGCATTCCATACGACAGAAGGGAGTTGTGCTTTGGGCCCCACATCATTAATACCTGCAGGACAAACTATATGTTACATCCAAACATATGCTACTAAGAGCTGCTTCTTCTAAACAAGTAGCTTTCAGCACAGAAGTGGCCAGGGGTGCCTGAGAAAAAGCTGCTTCATCCTTCTTTCACATATTGAAGGGAAAAGGTAACTGTTCAGTTGGGAGAGGGAAATGAAAGTCACTGGCAGAACAAGCAATAAGCACATTATCTTGACCGCTTCAAAATGCCCCATTTCAAAGTTTTTTCTTCTAGCAATAACCACAGCTGGAGTATTATATGAGCTTGCACTCAATAGCACATAAGACATAAAAAAAGAAAATATCAATACACTATCATTTCAGTATGATTAAATACAGTGGAACTGACACAGGGATGAGACCTTTAGATCTCTTACCAACAGCACTGTAATGGTTCACTTCAAATTAATTTTAGCCAGCTCCATTTAAACATATTTCATTAAGTCTGGAACAGTCAGGGGACACCTGATTAATGATTTTACCAATATTTTTTTTTCTGAAAAGTAAGACAGATTCAGAGGCAATTACAGCCCTTGCAGTGCATGGATTAAGGCAGGGGGGGGAAACAGACATGGCTAGGAAATTATGGATAATTATTTAGTGTGTTCCAGTGACTAAAGAACTGAGGGATCTGTGCTCAAATCCATGCTCTGTCATACACTCACTAAATGGCTTTGACTTACCAAATAATGAGTATTATGACCAATCACAATTCTCCAATCTTCAAATTCTGATTAGTATACATTTGGTTTTCCAGAATGCACTTTTTCATTGTACAACACTGTTATCTCTCCTAAGGCAATGTTACATGCAATGTTACGCATGTAATATTTAAAAATGCCAACAATTGAAATACTCTTTAAATACACTAAATTAAAATAACACAACTTATAAAAGAAGATACGATTTCTTCCAATTTCTACAAACCAGAATATGCCTAAGTGTCACAGAAATCCAGGGCATGCTAGATAAATAAGACTAAGGTGTCAATATATCACAGGAAATTTAATGATGTTGAAAAACATGATTTGAGAAGTATTTCATTTGCTCACAGCTGCCAGTGCCAAAATGCATGTGAAGTGTTTCCCCACTCCCTTGGTGGTACTAAAATTATCTCTATTCTTAGACCTGGGTTCCCATTGTTTGTTCTGAGCTCCTACAGCAAAGTGAATGTTTCTAAGAGGTACTTTACAACAAACAGCCTTTATAGTGTATCTACTTGGTCTCCTTTTGAAGCTTTACCTTGTTATTTGAAGAATGAGGCAAAGCACAGATCAAGTGGGAAAATAAACAGAAGTACCACAGCAATGTGCAAGATTACAGGCTGTAAGGCTAAAATGGACAGAGAAGGAACCCGGACAAAATGGATGGCTTCTATTAGATAGAATAGGTGTAGTTCCAGAACAAGATACCTGCCATTATTTACAATTGCAATTGGTAAGAGCGAACACTTTGACTGCAGAGCTGGATGAGCAACTTCTTCAGACAGAGAGGTTCTCTAGTCCTAACTCAAGCCAGTCTGAATAGGCTATTCTGCCATCAATTAACATAGATCTAGCAGTCTGAGTGGCTGTGGTGGCTCAGTGGTTAAGATGCTGAACTGCAGACCGGAAGGTCATTAGTTCAGCAGTTCGAGACCCGAGTGCCACATGACGGAGTGAGCTCCCGTCTCTGGTCTCAGTTCCTGCCAACCTAGCAGTTCGAAAGCAAGAAATTGCAAGTAGATAAATAGGTACCACTTCGGTGGGAAGGTAACAGCGTTCTGTGTACCTTGCGTCTAGTCATGCTGGCCACATGAACATGGAAACGTCTTCAGACAGAGCTGGCTCTTCGGCTTGGAAACAGAGATGAGCACCGCATCCCTAGAGTCAGATTTGACTGGCTTGCGAGCAAGGGAAACCTTTACCTTTACCTATCACATGTGGTGTCACAGGAAACATACCACCCCCACATCTCACAACTGAGTAGGGAGTGGGAAAATAGTGAAAAGAGCCTGATTTCATGAAATTTTAAATGGTCAGTTCTAGGTCAAAGCCACTGAGACAAAGGCACAGGGTACACAGGTTGAGATGTGCGATATATTTGAAAAACGACAGAACAGAGAGTAAGTCAGCAGCAGCAGACTGGACACTGACGTACAGGAATGGTGTCAAAGCAATGCCAGCTTCCTGATACCCATAGCTAGCCAACTGGGGGCAAGTCTTACAGAAACCCACTTCCACTTCACAACTTCTCTTCCAGAGCAAACAATCCCTTCCCAATGTAGGTCAGGTAATTCAAGATCAACTGACATTCCCTGCTGTCAAGGCGAACTGGAACTTTCCTCAATCTACACCTCAAGCCCCCTTAAAATCACTGTTTCAGATCCTGGATTGTAAGAAATTCTAGTAGGGCTTAGTGTTGGTAAAGTCATTCCAAGGATAAAGCATCAGCAAAGGCTGGCCACCAGTTCATGAACTGCTGTTAAAAAAGAGCCAAAGTTATGACTGAATTGGCCTACAGCTAGATAAAGAAAAACCTATACTCTGTGTATACTTTAATAATTAAATGGGCCAAGCAACAATGGATGAATTTCACTCAGTGTATGTGCCACTCCCTCTCTCTCAGTAGTCTTAAAAGCTTTGTCTCCATTCCAAAATACCGTCAGTGTCTGCTATAAGTTAATACAGAATTGCAAATCTATCAAAAGTGATCACAAAGCATAAGAGCTAAATGCACTGATGCAAATGCATCCAATTTAAGTAATGTGTTGTAGGACTGTGATTTTGCAGTTACTGCCTTGGGAATCTTTTAGTGTAAAATGTCACTCTCAAATGATATAAGCATACAGGTGACAAGCAGGCAACCCAAGAACTTTACCAAGTAATATCAGAATCATATTCTGTGGATATATTTACCGCAGCACGCCGGACATAAACAGGATGTGAAAGATGTACATTATTCAACAGGAACAAAATTGAATCCAAAGTATAGTACTCCCTGGGCTGGCCTTCTTTTCCGGTCCTGTAAAACATGGAAAACACAGAACTTAGGAAAGAGTTTGGAAACGATGTAAACAAACACTAGTTATGTTCTGTAGGTGAGCTGGGAGAAATAACTGAAATAAGCATGTAGATTGAGCAGCTGTACTTTGAACCAGAGTGAGATTGCCCATATGCCAGCAAACCTGTTGGGTAGTTGCTTAAGAAGCCCATATTAAACAGGGTGCTAAAGATTTTACCAGTGGAACTTCAGCTACCCAAATTATATTTTAAGAAAATACTACAGTTAGACATGCATACAATAAAAAACTTTGTTTTGCAAAGTCAGCCAACTTGCTTTCTTCCCCATCACAGCTAACTGACCTTTTGCTATTTCTCATCTTGACCAACACAATGATTTCCCCTGGCCTGGGCCTACAGGGTTAAAGATTGCAAAATTTTATTTTCCTTACCCTCACAATTAAGCTTTACTTAATTCAAGTAGGACTTAAGGTAGGTTCAATGTAGTGGACTAATGCAACAGAACCTACACTGATAAACCCTTGATTATGTATGTGATATGACTTTATCTCACAGGAGTTCCACCAGCACAAGAAAGACGCAAAATAAAAAGGGCCAAACTAATGCTGATGGTTACAAACTAAAAATGGAATGATTAATCTGGCCACATTACAATACTGCACAACAACACCCCCCCCCCACACACAAAAATATCTTCCTGCAGCAAGAGTAGTTAACCAAGTATTTCCTCTGTGGGCAAGGAGGTAACAGGAGCAACCTACTCCGGAGCTGTACATCTTACAGTATATGTCAATTGCAGCATAAGACGTTCAACAAGATGTCGATCACAAAGTGATGGCTCACAGAACACTCGTGCTGCTACTGATAACCAAATATACGTTCCACAGGAATCCTACTTATATCCAGCATCTAATTCCAGACATGGCCCCAGAGTGCAGATCAAATAATCCACACAATAGGACAAGGAACAAAAAGGATATATGTTTCTACAAACCTGGGGAAATCCAATGATCTGTAAAAATCCCCCAAGCAGAAAAAAGTTAGGGGTTGTAACCAATGTTCCCTCTAAGCTGAGTTAGTGTGAGCTAGCTCACACTAACTCAGCTTAGAGGGAACACTGGTTGTAACCCATACCCAAATAACAGAACCAATGTGTGTTCAGACACATGCACTGCAACTTGACGAGACCACAGATGGCATTTAGGGGGTTGTGTTATCAATTCCATACACAACGATTTTTTTTAAAAAAATGACCAGCCAAATGGGTTGGGTGGATGTGTGATCAGAGGGTGAGGGCTAGCAAAAGAGAAGGGGGAGATAGAAGGGATTGCTTCTTCTCAGAAGTCCTCATTGGCCTTCCTCTTGAACAGTTATAAACTGCAGTTTTAGGCACTGGGTAAAGTTTCAGAGGTTATGATGATCGAGCACATTAAACATAATGTATGTGTGCTGCATAATTGTACAAACACACTCAAAATAGATTTGAACTCAAATAACCGCTGGTGCTTACTTTGAGGCACAAATACCAAAAGTCAAATTCCAGTTAAATCTGGACTATTCAATGAACCACAACTTACCTACCAAATCTAAAGACAGCCGAGCACTCCATCATACCCACTCCCTGACACAGCACTTTAAGCGTCCTCTTCCAAATTATACTGAAATATGGCTCATTTAGCTCTATAAACAAGCAAGAGTCCAGCAGCACCCTAAGGACTAACAAAATTTATGGCAGGGTATAAGCTTTCATGAGTCACTAATTTCTTCAGATATACTCACAAAAGCTCATACCCCGTCACAAATTGTGTTAGTCTTTAAGGTGCTACTGGACTCTTGCTCTTTTCTACTGCTAGACAAGACAGACTAACACAGCTACCCATCTTGATTTTATTTCTTTATTTATTATTACATTTATACCCCGCCTTCCCAACCATATTACATTTATACCCCGCCTTCCCAACCATGGCCGGCTCACAGTGATAAATAATATAACAATAATGAAACTATAACTATAAAGTCCATTTTCATGATGAAAGAGGTACATGAAAGTCTGATAACTTGATTCATAGGTAATAACTGGGCTAGCTCCTAAAGATGTGAGGGACCAGGAAGGGGCAAAAAATTCAGAGGAACCCCTGAAAGACTTTTTCAATTTTTCTGATGGAAAAAATGGGAAATTTGGGGAACACCAAAAACAGCATGAATATCTTCTTTGTTTTGGAAAGAGCCAAACACATTTTAAGTCAATATTCTACTCACTGCCTCCTGGCATTCTTTGGAGGTCTCCAATCCAAATAACTTGCCAGGGTCAGCTCTGCTTAAGTTCCAAGATCTGGCAAGATTGCACTTGCCTGGGCTATCCAGGTCAGGGCTCTTCCTCTTAATCTTGTCCTGTACCTTCTGAACCAAATTACATGGGAACCTTTCCCCATTTTATGCAGAAATATTCAGATTTACAGGTTACAGGAATGTACCAGTCAACTTGGGGTATGGAGATTAGGGTTCAAAATCTGGTTCAGCCATGTAACTTTGGTAGCCCTAACCACAGTTTAGCTTCACAATCAGATTTTATAAGCATAACATGATACTATTCTCTGAGATCCTTGAAAGACGTAATAGATAAAATGATGACAGCAATACTTAACATGTAGGGTTCCCAAATTCTTGGGGGTGCCTGATGATCTAACAGACTCTCCAGTTCCCCTGGACAAAATGGCTGTTCTGGATGGTGGACTGTACAGAATTATACTCTGATGTGGTCTTTTCCCCTCCCCAAACCCCACCCTCCTCAGGCTCCACTCCTAGATCTCCAACAATTTCCCAACCTGGAGTTGTAATCTTATTAACATTTGGTGCTCTCATCTATTCAGAACACTCATAACATCAGTAAACCTTACAAGAATCCTAGTTACCAGACTAGTATTATACCTATTACAAAATCTTACAAGAATCCTACCAGACTAGTATTATACCTATTACAAATTCAAGCATAGGCTAAGAGTGACTTTTTCTAACCAGAGCAAAATCTGAACGTCCAGTGTAATACTTGAAACTCTTAGCCTCTACCCCAGTGGTAGTCACTCTGGAAACCATGATGAGCCACCATTCCCATTGACCGAGACACGTGACTACGACAAGCCCTAGTTACCTTCCCCAAGCATGCATGCGTGCATGTGTAAATAAATAAATAAATGTCCTTTTAATTAGCAGAGTACTTCTGAGGATCTAGGACTGTCTTTCCACTCTGCTGGCAGTTTTGATATAGGAAGCCTCATTTTACCATCTTATTCAATTACATATGTTAACCCAGCCTCAAAACAAAGAACCCATAAATTTGTACAACTTTGATACAATTGTCATGGGCGAGTTGTGTTGCATTTTAAAAAAGAACACTGAAGCCCAGAGTAACAGTGAAGTTATTCTAAAGAAATTACTCACTTTCCTGGAACATGGAATCAGTGCTACATTGAGGAATAATGTTCCTGAGCCAATGTGTGTAAGTGTTCTACATTCATAGCCATCCCTGCTAAGAATTCTTTCTAAACAAGTAGCAGAGGGGAGACATTCAAATCAGGCTTTACCTGTTAACAATACAAGCTACAGCATGCAATTAATATAGAACTGAAATTCAAAATACAAAAGCATTTAAAATACCAGCAGTATACCCTTTAAAGCAAGTACAGTATAGACAGGGATGTACTACTAGAAATGCCTACTCAAGTAGCAGCCAGAAGAGATGTTTCCTTTTTCCTGCGCAGCAATTTAGAGTCTGTGGTGGAAACAACCTCTCCTTGTAGAGGCTTAATTGCAAGCCTTAGGTCCACTCCAAAGAACATTTAAAACTGCAGGCATGTTAACAAATAACCACAGTTAGAGTTAGATCATCCAAAGCAATCTTTTTACAACACACTACAAACACTATCACCAGCTAAGATCTCCTTGAATAAGCCTCAAAATCAGGGAAAAAAATAAATGCACTCGCTTTTGATTTACAGTTCAAAGTCAGGAAGCCCTGTGACACAATAAGCAAAACCAGGGTATCATAATCGCTTCTCTGCCGACTCAGGTTTGGAAACTCCTACAAATACCACACTCAGCTCTATGTGGTTCCTTGCAGCACAATCTATTCAGGATTCCAAAAAGAAGCTAAGAACAAAACATAACTATAGGAGAAGACATCAAAATGATTCTTTTGCTAATTTGAGCCTTTCCTCTCCCGTGTGAGGGAAAAGCACAACATTGTTTCACAGCACAAGCATGCACATTACAAGGCAAAGGGAATGAAATACACACAGGGTCTCACTTACCCACAACTTTCTCAATATAGAGAAGTCAGCTTCCTAGTTCTTCAGCTCTTGCCCTCCCCACCACCAAAGGTGCACTACCGACAGCAATTGTTGTAATAGTAGATGACAAGTTCCACAAAACATAGCGATCTTTACCACCACACTGGAACCCATCTCCACAAGGATACTTCTGTTCCATACAAGGGACCACTGGGCATTCCCATCCTGATCTCTTCCTTTCATTCACAGATATCTGGCCAGATTTCCCCTTCATACTCCTTATCAAATCCTCCTTCTTACAATCTGCTCACTTGAAGATACAACTGGAGAGCAGGCCCATAACAATGCATGCAGCTAAATAAGCCTATGTAGGATTGCAGCCTACCGCATCCAAACATCATACTTAAAAGTCTACTGCAGTTTTCTTCCAGAAATGTGTATAGACAATTGCAGCCTCAGTCTCTCAGCTAGCTTCTGACCATTCCATCTTCTCTTTCGTTTGCAATCAATTAAGAGACTATTGCCACATGTATCCCATCCTGGTTGCTCTTGTATTCATAACACACTCTCCACAGCCCACTTCATTCTCTTTAGCCCACCCTTCATTGAATTTACTGGCAATCACTTCCAAAACAAGCATGCATAAAAATGCAACCACAACAGCCAAGTTTATGGGATACACTTATACAAGATGTAGTGTTGCTGTTGTTTTTTAAAAGTGGTTTTGCATGGAAACACAGATCAGTGGCTACTAGTCATAACAACTCTACACCTAGAGGCAGCATACTAGTCAGCAGTACAGACAAACAGTTGCCTTCTAGTTTCCCAAACCGCTGTGTCCCAAACTGCTCAGTGTTAAGCTGCTACATTAGAGCAGCTTTCTAGAGGCAGCATACTAGTCAGCAGCACAGACAAGCAGTTGCCTTCTAGTTTCCCAAACGGCTCAGTGTCCCAAACCGTGTTAAGCTGCTACATTAGAGCAGCTTTAGGTCTCCTTCCTGCTGCTTCTCCCCTGCAAAACAGCCTATTCCTAAAAGAGGCCACTAAACGTTTCCATCCCAACATCTTCCTTCCAATCATCATACCAAGACATCTTAAACTTATGAAGACAGACAGTGAGGGAAACCCCCCCCCATGCACAGAAAACAGCAAAAGAAAAATCCACTTACAGTTATTTTAACTAGAACAGAGGTACTGACTCTGCAGCACACAGAAAGCCATATTCACAATAACATAAATCAAAAGAGCAACATTACTTTCATGCCTGACATAAAGCCTACACTTCAGGGAGGATCACAGTTTAGCCATGCTTGCACCAACAGTTGTTTCAATGTGGGAACCACCTGTCAATCACAAGCCCCACAAAGTAAATGCCTTGCCATATTTTCTGAAATATGGGGCAGGTACCACATTGGGACACCTCAAAACAGGGCTTACTCAGTGACTCTAAAACTCTATTATGGCCCCGGCCACAAGGCAAAGTTGCCGCGGGAGAGGCACGGAAGGTGGGCAGATTATCCGGGCATGATCACACCCCAACGTCTGGGAAGTGGAGCGCACCCGTGGCATACCGCTGACAATGCGCATTTAAAAACGAGTACCTCCAAGGTACCAGTAAACGTTTGCCACGGGCTGCCTCCAGACGCCCGTGGTGTGATCACGCTGGCGCGCGGCATTCCACTATGGTTCCTCGTTTACCTGCTGGCACCGAGGGAAGGACCCGTGCTGTGCCGCCAGCGCGTCTGATCGCGTAATTGCGGATCAAACTGTGCCGGGGCAATTAGCCACGCCTCCCCCCGCGATATCTGGCCCGTGTGCCCGGTGCCTATGTTATCTTTCAAATATTTCTAGGATTAGAAGCAAGTGAATTCACATACTTTTTTTTTTAGGGGGTAGCTCTGTTTTGGATAAAACTAAAATAAAGGAATCTTGCATGTACACCTGTTACCACTTGGGGAATATCTGACTGACCAGTGTGGGATGCTGAATCGGAGATCTGATGCAATCCAACAATACCAATGATCTCCTGATTTATCACATGAAGTACCCAAACCTTCTCCCATGCATACACTCTATACATGGAGTAAAGAAACTGGACAAGGAGAACTTTTTTCTTTTTCTCCTATAATAGCAAGCACTCAATGAAGCTGACATATAATAGATTCAGAACAAACAAAAGGAAGTGTCTTTTTTCATTCAACAAGAACTTTTGTGGCATTCACAGCCAATAGATACATGTGATAGCCATAAGCACAGATAGATTCTAAAAAGGATTTGATGGATTCATGGAGCATGCATGGGCCCACCATGACGACTAAAGGCAATTTCACTAGGTAATAAACCTCCAAATACTACCAAGCAACATCAAGAGGGAGGCCTGGGCCTCTCATGCCCCATCCACTGGTCCTCCACAGCAACTGGTTGAAGCAGATGCTGAACTACATAAAACGTCCGGTCCGATGCAGCAGGGTACTTATTACGGAGTTTGGGGAGTTGTCTGTCAGCCACGCTCACTTTATCCTTGCAACCGTCTGACACCCAGGCAAAGCTCCAGCCAGGAGTAGGACTTGACTAAACAGGAATTCGAACCCAGATCTCTACAGCACACGTTGATCATAATCCCCCCCCCCCAAACACAGACACCCTTCAGGAAGCCCTTCCCTCTGCACTCACCCCCAGATGACATAGTTGGTCTTGACGTTCTTGGGCCAGGAGAACTCGCCGAAGATCACCTCGTCCCCCTTCACCACGATCTCCTTCTTCTGCGTGTTGTACTGGCGCAGCACGCTCAGGACGTCCGCCATCGCCTCAGCCTGACTGGCTAGCGCTCGCTCGCTGGCTGGCCTCGAGACCGGAGCGCGCCCTCGCTCGCTCCCTCCTCCTCACGGCTGCCTTCGTGCCTCCCTCCGACCGACCGACCGACGCCTCAGTGACAGGAAAGGAAGAGAAGCACACAAACAAACCGACGGACGGACCTGGCCCAGACGACGACGACGACGACACCGCCGCTCCGCGCGAGGGTAAGCGAGAGAGTGCGAGGAGGACCCCGCCGGCCTGCCCGCACTGGCGCCTGCGCTCACGTCAGCCGACAGTCCCTCCCACCCCCGCTCTCGCCATCTCCTTTTTCCATTGGAGAAGCCACCAAGGCTTCCTGGGCCTGGTCATGGTCTGCGGCTTGGCCCCGCCTCCAATCCTGAGGAGTGGGCGGCACCGATGATGATTGGCACTTCAGCGAGCCTCTCCTGGCGACGCGGAAGGAAAGGGGGTGCGGTCTGGTTGGTTAGTTCGCGCAAAGATGGACATAGTGCAAAAAAAAAATGACAGGCAATGGAATAGCTAGCTGCTGGTGGCAGGGGTCCTAGACGCGCGGCGATCCTCCGAGAGAGGGCGGGGCTTGAGTCGGCTTCCTCTGCTTATGGCTCTGAGAAGGCTGCCGAGGCTAAGGGTGACTGGTCCTTGGCTCAGGTCGGTGCAGTTGTCTTTCGGCGCAGGGGCTTTATCTGGCTGCGCGCGGGTGTTTTACGGTAAAACTCGGCCAGAATTCGGGGGCTGTCGGTGTGCTGCTGGGTCTTATGGGAGAGACTTGGCAGACGTAGGCGCGCAGGTTCCTCTGTTTCGGGCGTTAAGGTAAAACTCGGGAAAGGGAGCTTTGGCTAAGTGCATCGTGGTAGAGCCCAGGTGGGTAACCCGGCTAAGGTTATCCCGTGCACGTTTACTCGGAAGTAAGCCCCGTTTCGTTTACTGGGACTTGCTCCGAGTAAAACAAACCTTAATTCTTCCTTTGCAGAATTGTAGTGTAGAGCAAGGCGAGAGGGGCGCGACAGGGCAATCCTATGCAGTTACTCCAGATTCAGCCCATGGAAATTAATGGGCCCAAGCTAGAGTATTCTACATACGATTGCAGTGAGAGTCTGGAGTTAGCGCTGGAACCGGCAGTGTCTCTCTGAGCATGTCAAGAGTACCTTCCCACTCCAGTCAATCAGCCATGTCAGCTTCTACTGAACTGATTTGGGCAAAGTAGGCTGTGGGGTTTCAGAACTGTTTCATAGGCTGTATTTGCCCTACCCGGGGAAAAAAACTTTCCATTACCATGTAATTATGAGCAATCCATACAGCGACTGGGTGCTTCTCAAGGGCGGTTATCATTGCTGCCTGGAGGAAAGCCCTAGCAGTAGGACAGGAAAACCACTGGGACCAGTAATTGGTAACCGGATGGGGATGAGAGTGGTGGATTAATATCTAAAGACATCGGAAATTAGTATCTAAAGAGGTTAATATGTAAAGAGATTGCTTGCTTGTCAGTCAAGCCTTAACAAATGGTAGAGCTGTGGTTCTCACTCTGCAGTTCATGGAGAGCCAAAAGCACAATCCGTTTAAGGCCCGGGGAAAAACCGGAAGAATTTGGGGGGAAAATGTTTTTTTCCTGAACCCTTTTTTTCCCCCGAAAAATTGGAAAAATTGAAAAAAGAAAAGGAAAAAAAATGATTATGGAACTTTTTATTTTAACATGATGAATAAAATATTTTAAGACAAGGTGTTCAGATATTTTCCAAATCATTTCTAAAATATATATATATATGGTATCAGATTGATCTAATTTCTGTGCACTGAGGACAAGCAAGTCCGAGGTTACAAACTGAACTCTCCAATGCAAGAACAAGATGCATTTCTTCCTTTAGGAGGTGTGATTGTCAGAAGAAAATTAAAAAGTTTCAGTTTTGTTTTTGCATGTGGTTGGGTATTCTGTTTGTAATAATTGTTTGGATACACTATATTTTTAATATGCTAGTTGTGATAATTTCGTGCCAAGTAAAAATGTCCATAGTCATATTTTATGTTCCTAAGTAACAGAATGACTTTCAATCTAGAAAAAACAAAAGAAATACTAATGTAGCATTTTTTTCAATTTTTCCAAAAATTTCCGGAAATTTTACATCTCTACCGTTTACACCAAGAGACACATGACTACTCAATGCCATGTGCGCCACCTCACCAAACACACACAATAATATAAGATACAGATATTGAAATTAAATATAACATTGTAAACCTTTAAAATTTAAAAACTTCTGTGGAGAAGGGGGAGTAAAACCACCGCCACCACGCCACTGTGGCAAACTCACTCTTTTCATGTGTGGTTACTGAAGTTGTGGTGGTTTTACTGTTTTTTTCTCTGCAGTCAGCCTGCTCTATTCCTGCCAGCTTGCTTGGGTGCTGGGTTGAGAGTGCAGAAAAGGGCAGGAAAGTTGCTGGAGAGGACAGCCCTTCCGTCCCTGGCACGAGGCTTGCAGCTCATGAAGGCTTAGCAGTTTTTCCATCCCTGCACTAACAGCTGTTTCCAGATGGGCACGACCTGCCAACTACAATGGCCTTACTTCGTTTCCTTAAACGTGGAATGGGTGCCACATAAGGGTATGGTGCTCAAAAGAGCCTCATGTGGCTCGTGAGTCACTAAGCAAATATCTCTGTGTTAGAGTATTTGGTGAAGATTCCTTAATCAAGTAGAAAAAAAAAAAAAAGCACACAGAGTGGTTTAAGTCCTCAGACCGGCAGTTCACTAAGCGACTTCAATATAAAATACACAGAAATAAAACCAGGTTAGCCAGCTATGTCAAGAACAGCTCAAAACTACAAATAAAAGTAAAATTAAGTG